TGAGAAGAAAGAGCTGCAGACATTCGTCAGTATGTCTGAAGGAATGTATAAAGGATCAATCTAGGAATTTGGGAAAATTGGAAGTTGTCAAAAATGAAATAGAACACCAAAAGATCAATCCTAGGCATTAATGAGCTGAAATGGACTGATATTGGCCATTCTGAATTACTCATATGGTCTATTATGGAAAGACAGTGTGAAAGGGAATGGCAACACATTCATCATCAAAAAGAACATTTCAAGAAGTACCGAAGTATGATGTTGTCAGTGATAGGATAATATCCACACGACTACCAGGAAGACCAGTTAATACTATTATTATTTAAATTTACACACCAACCACTAAAACCTAAGATGATGAAATTGAAGATTTTTTTTTTTTTTTTTTTTTTACCAATTCCTGCAGTTTGAAATTGACTAAACGTGTAATCAAGATGTGTTGATAATTATGGGTGATTCAAATGCAAAAGTTGGAAACTGAGAAGCAGTTTCAGTAGTTGGAAAATATGGCCTTGGTGATAGAAATGACAGCTATGATCACATTAAATTATGTTGCAAGACCAACAACTTATTCATTACAAATACCTGTTTTCAACAACATACACAGCAGCTATTCACGTGGATCTCTACAGATGAAATACACAGGAATCAAATGGTTTACATCTGTGGAAAGAGGTGGCGGAGAAGCTCAGTATCATCAATCAAAACAAGACCAGTTACTCTGTGGAACAGACCATTCATTAGTTATATACAAGTTCAAGTGGAAGCTGAAGAAAATTAAAATATGTTCTATAGAGACTCTTTTATTAAGCCTTAGAACAAATACAGAAGAAATACAATTATCCAGGATGAGGGAAACCATCAGCATGTACACAGTATAGAAAATAAATGAAGTCCACTGCGTCTAGGCCATAAGTATAATCATGCATGGTTGAAAACAAAGGAAATCATCACAAAATTTTGATTGATGGCAGATTGATTCATCAGTTTCACAGGCAGGACTACAGAAGTAGGGAAAGGACCATAATTAGCATAAGTACATAACTGAAGATTAAAAAGGTATATAGGATTTGTCTGGATCTTGTCTACCTGACTATGTGGTGGTCCAGTTATGATTCGTGACCATGCAGTCTGAGTGATAGACAAAAGATTTCTATAAGATAATACCAAGACCCTAACCTTAATTTAAATTAGGTAAGGACACAACCCAGGCAAGTTCTCTAGTTCTTTGCATGAGTTTAATCTACTTTTCACCATTCTTTTCCTAAGAGCAAACTGCCTCACCTTAAATTTATCCTCGAACTTGTCTTTGCATAGACACAATGTTCATTTAAAGGTCAGAAAGAACTCAAATAGCATCCAAACTTATGTCAAGACTCATAATGACTTATAAAGGAGTTAGGGTTCCCACTGTGGACTGCAGCCTTCCACAACCTAAGTACTTTAGAATTTAAGCTCTAATACAATTTACATAGTTTTTAACAGTTACTGACACTGCAGTACTTTATTTTTTCCCTCTGTTTGAATGAGTTGTTTTATCTTATCTTCTTCATTAATATTTTAATAGCAGCTTTATTGAGATATAATTTAAATAGCATAAAATTCAGTTATTTAACATCTACTGTGTTTAAAATTCAGCATTAAAATTTAAACTATATAGTTTGATGGCTGTCAGTATTTTCAGAGAACTGTGCATCCAGATTTAGAGTTTTAGAACATTTTCATTTTCATAAAGAAACCTCATGCCCGTTATCAGTCACTCCTCATTTCTTCCTCATTCCCAGGCCCACCAGCCCTTGGCTACCAGTAATATTTTCCTCTCTATAGATTTGCCTGTTCTGGGCATTACATACAAATGGAATCTTACAATATGTGGATTTTTGTCCCCTGCTTACTTAGCATAGTATTTCATGGTTCATCTATGTGATAGCATATGTCAGAAGTTAATTTCTTTTTATGACCCAATAATATTCCATTGTATACATATGCCATATTTTCATTTATCAGCTGATGAAGTTTTGCTTTGTTTCTACTTTTGGATATGCTGTTAAAAACATGCATATACAAGTTTCAGTGTGAAGATTTGTATTCAGTAATCTTAGATGTAAACCTGGGAGCAGAATTTCTGTTTAACTTTTTGAGAAACTGCCAGACTGCTTTCCAAAGTGACTGTAATCCTACCAGCAATGGATGAGGGTTCCAAATGCTGTACATCTTGACAACTCTCTTAATGTCTTTTTTTTTTTTTAATTATAGCCATCCTAGTAGGTACGAACTGGTATCTCATTGTGGTTCTGATTTATATTTCTTTGATGGCTCCTCATTAAATTTTAAATTTGTATAGTTTAGAAATGGATTCCCTAAGTGGTGCAGTCTGGTGGCATAGTGACTAAGGCATTTGATTGCTAACCAGACGGCTGATGGTTCAAACCCACCAGCCACTCCTCAGAAGGAAACTGGGCAATCTATTTCCAGAGATACAGCCTTAGAAACCCAAGGAGGAGTCACTATGAGTCGTAATTGACTCGACGGCAGTCGGTAAGTAGTATAAGTGGTGCAAATGGTTAAGCATTTGACAGCTTACCTAAAGGCTGGTGTTTGGTGGTAGAAACCCACCAGAGGTTCCTTGGAAGACAGGCCTGACAACCTGCCTCCAAAAGATCACAGCCTTGAAAACTCTATGGAGCACTTCTACTCTGACACACAGAGTTACCATGAGTCAAAATTGACTAAATGGGCCACTAACAACAACAACAGTTTATGATAGTCTCATATCACTTACATCCTAAATGACCCACAGTATTTTGTACATATTAGCTCAGAATAACTGTTTGAATTTATAACCCTATTTTTAAAAACTGCAGCAAAGAGGAAATTTTTTTGCCTGTTCTAAAAAATGTGCTGTGTCCATATCACTAGCATTTTACTTTTTCTGGCTCTCAGACTTTGTGTTGTGTAGTGTCACAGTCACACATTATGTACTCTGTATCTTGATATCTAATTGCTAAGCCATATGACTTGATTAATGTTGATTAAATGAATACATGAGTTTTATTAATATTCATTTTGGATTGTTGAGATTGTCCCTGGGGCCAGGTGAGTGTCTTAGTTCTGATATATGCTAAAACTCTAATTAAAGGTATAGAGAATATTAGAGGCTTTATTTTCAACTAACACCTTCAGATAAAGAAAGACTTGACCACTTAAAAACTAAGATATACAGTATTACTTGTCTGGTTGTTACATATTGTCCAAATTAGTATCATTTGCTCTTTGAAGTCCCTGTAAAGGCAGCTTCAGATTTTTATTTAATCCCCTGACTGATTAATTCTGTGAAGTGTTAGCTTGGTAAATTGAATATTCATTGCAGTAGTTAGATATTCTGTATTATAAAATATGCTGAAAACATTTCAAAATGATATATTAAAGAATATGTGATTTTTGATGTTTTGAAAATGTTAAAGCCTCTTCTAATATAAAATTTTAAAGGAACTATATTCAGTTTTGTCATAATGTCAGTAAGGCATAAGGCATTAATATTGAACAACTAACCAATTGTTCTCGAGTCATTTCTAACTCATAGCGATCCAATGTATGTCAGAGTAGAATATGCTCCAAAGAGTTTTTACTGGCTGATTTTTTGGAAGTTGGACTTTCTTTTAAGACATCTCTGGGTGGACTTCAGCTGTCACCCTTTCTATTAGCTGCTGGTAAGTTAAGTTTGCATTACCCAGAAACACCATTATTTTACAAAGCACTTAGAAATTAGCAAATCTTTTTGTAAATACAACCAAGAAACTTTTCTCTAGTAGAATTTACCATGAAAGAAAAATGTAGTATCTCAAGTGGAGCTCTTTAAAAATTGTTTCTGAGAGTAGTTGAAATTTGCTAAAATATTGATTGCAATATGATAATTTGGTGTTATTTTAGGTATACATATGCAGAATTTAGGAGCTCTGGTAGCATAGTGCCTAAGGCACTTGACTGCTAACCAGGAGGCTGGCGGTTCAAACCCACCAACCACTCCTCGGAAGGAAGGTTGGGCATTCCTACTTCCGTAGTGATAACTGCCTCGGAAACCCAAGGAGGGGTCGCTATGAGTCGGGGCCGACTCGACAGCAAATAACAACAACAACAACATGCAGAATTTATAATTTTGTTACTTTGGTGCTCTGAGAAGAAAATAAGAATAGGTGATGTCATTAATCTCTATGCCCTGGATCCTTAATAAGATAGCCTCTTGGAAATCATAACTATTGTCCTGTGATTTCAATGGACGGACCATGGGGATGGAGTCATAGTGATGAGATTATAAACAGATATGCAAAAGCTTCTCTAGAGAACAATCATGGGAGAAGGAAGGGCTGCTTATGCACAGGGAGATAGCTCAGGGTGCAGAAGAGTATGAAGGGATGGACACTCGGAGGAGGTAACTATGGGGAGGAAGTGGGAGGGGAGCTGCTGCATTGTAAATTTTGGTCAATGACATGAGACAAAGTATATGTGAACTGCTGTATGAAAAGTGAATTTACTCTGTAAATCTTCACCCAAATCCTAATTTAAAAAAAAAAAAAAAAAAAAGCTTCTCTAGAGATCAGGACAAAGAAAATAACCTACTCCTTATAATGCATGGCTGCCTGTATTGGAATGTTATTTTCAAAGTGATTCAAAGGACTTGGCTTCTAGGTCTTAGCTTCTAAAACTACACCTTTCATCATTCTTAGAAAAATTACTGTTAATAGAAATGGCATATTCACTTTTTCCCCTACCATGATAGTCCTTTTACATTTTAAAAGTGTAAGCAATCATTAAAGTTTAGTTTTTGATAACCACTTATCACTCTAATACATATTTCCAAATATTTGTATCATTTTGAGTAATTTCTAATCCCAGTGCTACAAATTTTATCAAAAACTTAAATTCAGTATTTAGTTAGATTTACACCATGTAATAAGGTTTTTAAAGTCATAAATGTATACCTATATAGTTTTCTTCTATTCTTAAACTTCATAATAATGAGGGTCAAAATTTTCTTCTCTTCCTTCTTGTTCTTGGCCTTCGTAAACATTATCATGATGATGATGATGATGATGATGATCATCATCATCATCATCATCATCATCTTGATATCTTCGGAAAACTTGAGTCTTCAGTTGTATTGTTTGACCATTAGTGCTTTTTTGTTCACCGTAATAAATACTATGTATATGAGGGAAACAGAAGAAAATGTATGAGCTTATTGGTTCTTTTAACTTATTTTGATCCATACGAATGTATGTTAAATGGTGGTAATGTAGTGGGTCAATAGATGGACACATCATTGTAGCATTGATATCTGAAAAATACAAATTAAAAATTAATCCTGCTACTCTCCATCTAATATGCTACATATATTTTATTAAATGCTGTATGGTTGATATATTTTTATCACTTAAAATACATATAAGTGGAATTAGATTTAATTGTTTTTTTATGTTAATCAAATGATGAAAATGAAGAGAATAAAAATATAAATGAGTTTCACTTTACCAAAATAAATATGAGTTCAATGGCTTTTTCTTAGTATTAAAGTACATTCTTAGTAAAACAATCCAAAAAGAAAAAAAAAAAGTAAAAATCACCTGTAATCCTATTACTTAGGATATTCATGTTTCTTCATATACTCTCTAACACTATTTCTCAATGTTTAAGATGGCAAAATTTAATAGAAAAGACTTAAACTTTATAGTACATCTTTCTCTGGGAGCAATTTCTGCCATTTCCCTAGCCAACTTCAGAGCAACCATTTCTAGCAATGTGTAAAGCATAGATTATTAAAGAATTACTCTTTAAAAGGTAAAAAATACCATTCTTTCTCTCTTTAAAAAATGATAAAAATTTACCTACTTTCAATTTCATTATTTTCTAAATACAGGTGTTCCAAACTTCTTGGAATATAGAATGCTTGCTTCAGTTTGTTGTGTCCAACATTGAGCTCTCTAAGGTTGGGAAGGTTAAATATGTTATATGGAATGTCTTGTAGTTTGTTGTGTGACATTCGTAGAGCCTGCAGTTTTGGAAGTTCCTTGAAGTAATTTTCTGGTATAGAAGAAATTGAATTATTTTCTAAAGACAGATACATAAGTGAAGAAGGTAAATCAGGAGGCATTGATTCTAATTTGTTACTACAGAGGTTAAGCTGCATTAATTTTTCCATTTTGGAAAGGATTTTTTCTTTGAACATAGAATCCTGAAAATGATTATAACAAAGATCAAGCATGGTCAAGTTTATTAACCCATCCATGGCATTTTCCTGCAGTCTAGAGATCTCATTATAGCCAAGAAGGAGTCTTTCTAAAGATTTAGGAAGAGGAAATGGAAATTCTTCTAAATTGTTATGCTCTAGGTGAAGTTGTAATAAATTTGAAAACTTAGTAAATACACCATAATCAATCTTCTGAGATTTAATTTTGTTGTAGCTAAGATTAATTTCTTTAAGATGAGTTGCATTAGTGAATGGATTTTCAGTCACAGCTTCAATTTCATTGAACTGAAGATAGAGTTGCTGAATGTGCATCGGAATATTTGGGATAGTCTTAAGTTTACGATTATCACAGTACATTGATGATGGAAAATTAGGGGGACAAAAGCATTCACTGGCACAGGCTAAAGTATGCTGATGGAAAGGAACTCCATATTCTACATTTTGATGAAATTGGAATTCTGGTTGATAAACATCATCTGGCTCCTGATCATAGTCTTCATCTCGCTGGTAAGTTTCATATTGGCAATATACTTTGACTCCAAAGAAGAAGCAAAGGGCATACACTTGACTTAAAAATCTCATGGTCTTCTTTTGTCCTATGGCAAGTAGAAAAGGAATATATGAAAGGAAAAGTGAGTAAAATGCAAAATAATTCTTACATAACTTGATGACTACCTAAAATAAACCTGTGTCAATATTGAAAGATGTAAAATGTCCAGAAAGAATGGGGAATGTCCAAGCCAAAATTAGTGTTTAAATGCCAATGATTAGTGTTTAAATGCCAATGAAGGGGTTATTTTTCATTAAACTAGAATAAACAATTTATTGTACTAGACTTTTTACTTAAGTAACCATCTTTCGTTTATCTTGCTTAACAGACAATAGATTCATGATTATAGCATGACATCTACAAAGCCTAGCTCTTTCCAATGAAAATGCTGAGTATTCTTACTGATTATGTGATCCCTTTTAGGGATCTTTTGAAAAGAGAGCCCTGGTGCCATAGTGGTTAGATGCTCGGCTGTGAATCCAAAGGTCGGCAGTTAGAATCCACCAGGTGCCTGATGGAAGAGACATGTGAGAGTCTGCTTTTGTAAAGAGTATAGCCTTGGAAACCCTGTGGGCAGTTCTATTCTGTCCTGTTGGATTGCTGTCAGTTGCAATTGATGCCTTGGCAATGGATTTATGAGAAGAGATACCCCATTGTTGTAGTTGCAGAGGTTTTGCCTAAAATTTTTTTCCTTAGTTTTAAAACCAGTATCTGCCTTCTTATAGCCTCTATTTACTGATACTTTTTTCTGTGTTTTGGAAGAACCAGAAATACTCCTTTCCTGTGTGATAGCTTCTGATGTTTAAAAATAGTTACCATGTTTCCTGTTAATGTTTTCAGTCTAAACCTAACTACCTCTTCAAATTTTCCTCATATGAAACAGCATCCAGAATCCCACTATTTTGTGTCTGACTCTCCTTATTGTATTTTACACAAATAATGTGTGTTTTATACGTTTTTGCTTGCTGTTCACCCCTTGCACATTATTTTCTTTTTCTTTCTTCCTTTGTGTATGTGTGTGTGTGTGTGTGTGTGATTTAGGTAATAATTTACAGAGCAAATTGGCTTTAAATTAAAAAAGCCAGGCACATTCTGTTTTATAACATTCACTGCAAACTCCACACTGTAAAATAGCATTCTTCCCACTTCCTCATTATGCCTATCCCTACACATCACTCTTCCTTCCCATAACTTTGTTCTTCCTTCCCATACCCTCCTGCCTTCTCTATCCCTGGATAAATACTATCCTCTTGATCTCAAATGCTTGACTGTTCTAATGAGTGCTTATTCTCCTGATACTACTGTTCATTTGCATGCCTGTCTCTCGTTTGGCTGAAAGATGTCTCATGGAGGTTCAGTTCAGTTCCTAGCTTGAAGAGTGCCTGTCTTGGGGTTTTCACCAATCTTCGTCAGACCAGTTAAGCCTGGTCTTTTTTATGATTTGGGTTTTGTTCCACATTTCTCCCCGCTCTATCAGTTACCTCCTATCATGATCCCTTTCAGAGTAGTCAGCAGTAGGTAGCAAGGCAACATCTAGTTCTTCTGGTCTCAGGGTTGTGGAGTCTGGGTTTCACATGGTCCATTAGTCCTATGGACTAATCGTTTCCTTACGTATTTGATTTCTTCTCTCTTCTTTACTCTAGAGATGGGGAGATGAATACTTGTACAAGCTTTTAAGACCTCACTCACAACTCACCACAGGAGGATATGGAACATCATCTTTGTGGTCTGTGTTCTGCAAGTTCACCTTAGTGTCTTCTGAGACTATGGTCCTGAGCCTCCATACCCAGCAACTCATTCCATTAAGGTGTTTGGTTATGATTAAGATGTTTTCATAACTTTGCCTCCTGTATGCTCTACTACGTTCATGGATATATTTGTAGCACTTTGAAATACAATGGAGATACATATCCTCTGTTAAACTTAAATGTATCCGTGAGTATAGTCCCATTTGCCTTCCCACCCCTGTTTAGGTTGAATATCTGTCTATGTATATACACATACATTATTGTTATTACTGTTACTGCAGGACTGTGTATGTAATAGTATTCTCCTTTGTTGCCTTTAAATCTTCTGCTCCTCCCTGTGTCTTCTACTGCCTCCACCATTTTGTGCTGACCTCCCCTTACGTATATTGCCTTTCTGTTCATCCAAGTTAATAGGTATCTACCTTCTAGTTGGTGATTCACACTCCCTTCTTATTCACCTCTGGTAACCTTCAAATAATGCTTCTATCTATGTGTAAATGTTTTCTTAACTTTTTACTATATCGGTCTCACCTAATAATTGTCCTTTTGTAATTGACTAATTTCAGTCAGCATAATTTCTTCTAGGATCATCCATGTCATGAGATGTTTTGCAGATTCATCATTATACTTTAATACTGCGCAGTATTTCATTGTGTGTACGTACCATAGTGTGTTTATCCATTCAACTGTTGCTGGACACTTAATATCCATCTTTTCAGCATTGTGAATAATAAGGCGATAAGCATGGTTGTGCATATATCTGTTTGTGTCACAGCTCTTATTTCTCTAAGATATATACCAAGTAGTAGGATTGTTGAATCATGTGGTATTTCCATTTCCAACTTCTTCTTCTCCTTTTTTTTTTTAAACATTTTATTATGATTTGTGCAAAAGTTTACAGAGCAAATTCATTTTCCATTCAACCATTCATACGCATTTTGTTTTATGTTATTGATTGCAATCCCCACAATGCAAAAATTCTCTTCCTACTTCCTCCCCATGGTTACTGTTTCTCTCTTTCTTTCCCATGCATTCCTGCCGTCTGAACTTTCTCTCTGTGCAAATGCTGCCCTTCTTATCTTCCATGGTTGATTGTTCTAAGAGGTGTCCTTTGGTGTAATTGTTCACCTCCTAAGTCTGTCTGTTGTTTGGCTGAAGGTAAAGCCATGGGTGAATTCAGTTCCAGGCCTGAAGAGTGACAAGGGAGCATAGTCTTAGGGGTTTTACCAGGTTATGAGATCAGTAAGCCTTGTCTTTTTTATGTTTTTGAGTTTTTTCCCACAGTTTATTCCCACTCTACCCAAGATATCTAATTTTGATTGCTTTCCTAGTGGTTGGCAGTGGTAGCAGGACACCATCTAATTCTTTTGTACTTCCAATTTCTTAAGGAAGTGCCATACTGCTTTCAACAGTGATTGTAACTTTTTACAATCTGACCAGCAGTGTATGAGGGTTCCAGTCTTTCCATACCCTTGCCAGCATTTGTTGTTTTCTGTTTTTTTGAACTTTGCTATTAATGCTGAGATGATACAATACTTCATTGTTGTTTTGATTTACATCTCTCTGATGGCTAATGAAGGAGCTCTGGTAGCATAGTGCCTAAGGCACTTGACTGCTAACCAGAAGGTTGGCGGTTCAAACCCACCGGCCACTCCTTGGAAGGAAGGTTGGGCAATCTACTTCCCGTAGTGATACTGCCTCGGAAACCCAAGGAGGGGTCGCTATGAGTCAGGGCCAACTCAATGGCACATAACAACTACAACAACGGCTAATGCTGGTGAGTAATTCATGTTTCCTGAGTATCTTCTTTGGTGAAGTACCTGTTCATATCCACTGCCCATGTTTTAATTAGATTGCTTATCCGTTTTGTTAAGGTGTTAAAGTCTTTTATACCTTTTAGTGATTTTTGGAAATTCTTTTGATATGTATAAATGTTTACTTTTTAGGAGGTCCCAGTCATGTAGTTTGTTTCCTGTTGTTTGTGAGTTTTTAGTTATATTTGATAGTGTATTATTGCCATTAGTAGGTCACCTGTGTTTGCTCCTATTTTTTCTTTGATGATCTTTATGGTTTTTGGTTTTATATTTAGGTCTTTGATCCATCTTGAGTTAGGTTTTATATATGGTGTGAAATAGGAATCCTATTTCATTTTTTTGTGAATGGTTGTCCAGTTTTGCCAGAACCGTTTGTTAAAGATACTGTCTCTTCCCATTTAATGGATTTTAGCCCTTTGTTGGGGAGCTCTGGTAGCATAGTGGCTAAGGCACTTGACTGCTAACCAGAAGGCTAGTGGTTCAAACCCACCAGCCACTCCTCGGAAGGAAGATGGGACAATCTACTTCCGTAGTGATACTGCCTTGGAAACCCAAGGAGGGGTCACTATGAGTCGGGTCCAACTCGACAGCACATAACAACAACAACAACAAGTCCATTGTTGAAGATCAGCTGTCTGTAGGTAGATGGATTTACATCTCAGTGCTCAGTTCTGTTCCATTAGTCTATGTGTCTGTCATGATACTAAAACCAGGCTATTTTGACTACTATGACTGAATAGGTTTTTATATCGGGTAGTGTAAGGTCTCCTACTTTGTTCTTCTTCTTTAGTAGTGTTTTCCTTACCTGGAATCTCTTTCCTTTCCAAAAAAAAATTGGTAATTAGTTTTTCCATCTCTTTAAGGAATGATGATGGAATCTAGATCATGACTGCATTATATCTGTAAATTGCTTTGTGTAGTATTGTCATTTTTACAATGTTAAGTCTGGCTATCCATGAGCATGTTATATTCTTCAATTTATGTAGGTTTCTTTGGGTTTCTTGAAGTAGTAGTAGTAGTAGTAGTAGTAGTAGTGATTTGTAGTTTTCTTTGTATAGGTTTATTTGTGTATTTGGTTAAATTTATTCCTAAATACTTCATCTTTTGGGTGGCTATTAAGAATGGTATTTCTTCCTTTTCAGAGTTCTTTCTGTTAGTGTAGAGGAATCCTACCAAGTTTTGTATGTTGATCTTGTACTACGTCACTTTGAATGCTGCCTCTATGAGTTCCAGTAGTTTTCTTGTTGACCCTCTAGTATTTTCTATGTATAGGATCATATCAGGAGCTCTGGTAGCATAGTGGCTAAAGCACTTGACTGCTAACCAGAAGGCTGGCGGTTCAAACCCACCAGCCACTCCTCGGAAGTAAGGTTGGGCAATCCTACTTCCGTAGTGATACTGCCTCGGAAACCCAAGGAGGGGTCGCTATGAGTCGGGGCCGACTCGACGGCACATAACAACAACAACAAC